GAAGTATGATATTTTTCATATTAATTATTTAATTTCTTCATTGTCCTTAAGCCATTAAAACGTGTTTCTATTGTAACAAAAGTTAAAAGGAAGAAATAATAAATTAAGGTTAACGTATAAATAACGTAAAACCCACTGTATTTGCTTCAACGAGTGCAGACAAGGCTGTTAAAGATAATTTACAAAAATAAATTTTATGTAGGTACAGTTCCATTAAACGTAACTCAAATTTTCACCTTGATTTCATTAGTATTTCACTATGATAAGTTAAGAGTCGCTTATTCTAAAGTTATACATAATAGAAGGCAAAAAATTATTCAAGTGCCAAAGTTAAAAAAAACAATGAGTAGTAAAAATAGTTACGTTGTAGCTATTAAAGTATTCAATAAGTTACCTAATGATCTCTAAGAAATGACGAATAATCCTTATACTATCAAGCGTCAATTAAAAAATGTAATATGTGATATAGTTTAACTATATACCGTTGAACTCACTGTTGAAAATTATTCTAAAGTTAATTAATGTTATTTCAATATATTTATCTTTTTTCTTAGTTTTTAAGTATTAATAATTTAAGTTTTGTACCAGCCTATGTACAGGTAACTATGTTTATCTCTTGTAGGATTTACTATGTAGTAAACGTAGTAACATTTGTTATTATTATTATTATGTAAATTTTTCTTTTCTGGTATAAATAAACAAATAAAAAAATTAAGTCACTTTAACAAAAAATATGTATTAAAAGTAATTATACTGATTTGTTTTTATACTTATTTACGAAAACAAAGTACTTATATTGTGTTCATTTAAAATAACAAATACAAGTCCTTTCAAATATAATACGGATAATTATACGGATGATTTGTATTTTCTATTTATAATCATTCATAATACAAGTAACCCTTCTATAACACGGTAGATAGGTTCCTACAAAATACCGTGTTGTATGAGACTTTTGTTTCAAATCATAATTGTTCATGTAATTAATTACTAACTGCATTTTATTAAATAAATATTAAAAATATATTTACATTTAACAGCCAATGGTGTAACGATGTAAGAAATGTTCGATGGTGGAGCCGTATAGCCAATAATTCTCGTACTATTTAGATAAAAACATATCTCTTTGATAATTCTTTGCCATAGCCTCTCTATTTGATCTCGAGTGAGAAATTTTGTGAATCCTTAAATAGAAATTATATATCAATAAATTATATATCAATATATATATATATATATATATATATATATATATATATATATGATTCTGATATTTTATATCAGAATTATTTAATATATTATATATTTTTCTTGTTCCATTTTTTTACAATGTTAACATTATTTTATTAATTAAAAGTAGTCTTTCGTAGTATTAGAAATTAAATAAAATGTGTAGTATATATTATTAAAGTGATGACAAAAAATTGTTTTGATTTTATAATAAGCGGATTGCGACAAGCATTTATTATGCGTTATGCATTAATTTACATACGCTCCATTTATAAGTGGATCGTGTGATTATTTATCAAGATAATCACACGATTCTTTTTTATGCAAAATAACGCAGCATTCAGATTATATATATATTACTTTTATTTTTTGTATATTTCTATAATTGCGACTCGTAACACAAAAAGTTAGGAAATATTATTATTTTTTTAATGTGACACAAGGAAGTTTTTTGAATAAATAATATTTAGAATACCTATTTTTATACATACAAAATGGTACGCGTTATGCTGTTTTGTGATTATTACTTAATGTGTGTTAAAATGAAACATAAACAAGGTTTAAAAATTGTATAAGAGTTTAATAATTCTCCTATTCTTTTTGTTTTGTTTTATAAACCTAACTCTATTTTCCAAAAAAAAAAAAAAAAAAAAAAAAATCGAGTTAGCTACTGTAATAGTTACATTTTTACATGATCTTTTTATTCTGAAGTAATTTATTACTAATATATTTAAAATCATGAAGATTTTGTAACAAGAAAATTTGCTGATTAATGGAATAATGAAAAAGTTTATTTTGAAAGTGGCCTAACTCCATTTGTCAATTATTATTTTCCGGTTGCATGTGGTAAAAATGTCATTAAAAAAAAAAAAATAATTTACTATTCGTTCTCTAGGATTATTGCAATATTATTTCAAAAGTGTCGGAAAGGTAATAACTTTATTGTAAATAAAATGAGACATTTATGGAGTTAGGCCAAAATTTAAAGTTAGTTTCAAAATAAACTGCTCATATAATACAATTTAATAAAAATGATATTAAAGTACTTACGGGATGGTAGTAGATTTGCAATGGGAAACATGATGAAAATATTTTTGAGTAATTTTGATTTGTGAAATTATAAGATTTAGAAGAATCTTTTCGTAAATCAATTGAACTTAATAGAACAGCTTCTGTTACAGTACTAATTCTCAGATTTTAAGGGGAAATTTATTTTTCCGGTATGTTGAGGAGATAAAACCAATATGCGTTGTTGAGCTAATGAATTTGATAAGAAACAGTACGTTGGTTGGATACATTAGAGAGATATATTATTCCATTCATCTTTTATCTATTTAAATCTAGAAAGTACTTTCATTGTTCCATGGCAAATGAACGATATTCGATAAAGGTTCTATAAATATATATATATATATATATAATAATTTATGTATATGTGCATTTAGTTTTATTATCAATATTTATTTATTGCCTTTGAAATTCTTTTCATTCGATATTTCTCAATGCTTATCAAATTCTCCATTTTCTACGTTTAATCTTTATTTTTCATAGATTTTATTTTATATTGTGTTTTTATCTTTTTGTTTTTTTAGAATTTTATAAATTATGAGTTAGATAAGGATTCAACACGTCGACGATTCTGTTCGATCTTTTTTTTATCTTCCAAAGTTAATGCTAATCCTAAAACATAATAATATATTTTATTATTATTTTAATTAAATGGAGTTGTTTTACATATTTATTCATCTCTGATATATTAACATAATATGTAATGATATATTAATATAATTTCGATTGATTTAAATAATTAAAATGAATATTTTTATTTGAAATATTAACGAGAAGAGTTAAAATTAAATAAAATTGTTTAAGAGAGGTCTAGGTTATATCAAACAGAGATAAGAAATCTCGGTGTATAAGTAAAGTTTAACTGATAATGAATAAAAATTAATACGAATGGAATGTTGAATTTCTATGATAGTCTTTGAACGAATTCATTTTTAGTTATTTACCTTGAGGAAATATATCAGATAATGAAAAAGATACCTATGTATTATATTTTACTTTTAAGACAGATTTCACTATCGAATGAACAAATACTATCGCATTCGCTAACTTCCGATTCAGATTCAGATTCAGATTCAATTTTTGTTTCTACTTTTTTGCACCAAAATTTGTCTGTTTTCATAATTTTCTTTTCTTGAACTTTATTCTCATCGTCCTTTACTTCATTTTCAGTAGTTTCTTCAGCAATTGCATTTTCTCTCTCTGAATCAGCTGTTGCTGCATTTTCTTCATTTTCTATTTCAAGGTTCACCATGTTCTCTCCTTTAGAAACTTTCTTCTTTCGTTTTATCTTCTTTTTTTCCAGATTCCTTTTCGTAATTCTCTTTTCTGCAATAAGTACTATTTAAAAGCGAGTTTAATGATAATGCAAAACATAAATTAGTTTTTGAACTTTAGAGTGTTTACAAAAAAAAAAAAAAAAAAAAAAAAAAAAAAAAAAAGAAAAAAAATACAATAATTAATATCAGTTTAGAATTGATGAGTATACGTTATATAAAGAAATTAATGATTAATGACAATCAGTAATTAATTAACCTTTGCTTTTGATAATTTTCAACATTTAATTCTTATCATAATGATGTACCAATAGGTGGTAATATTAATGGATATTATTGATAAATAATGATACGATTAAATTTTTTTTCATTAACTTATCGTGACATTGATGTTCTTCATTCATATAGACATAATTGCTATGAATCTTACTTTCTTGCTGCATCATAGTTTCTTTCAGAGCAATTACGTTTTCGATAAAACAATTAATGTGTCGATGATCTACCAATTGATATCTAACTTCTAATGAGGGTTGAATTCTTTTTAATAACAAATCGATAGAAGACACGTGCTTTGGTTTCAAAATTGTTCCTTTCATTTTCTCGTCTTTCTTACATTTACGGTAACGAATTTTGGTAATAGTTTTTGGCACCGTTTTCTTTTCTTCCTCGATACAATCTGTTATTTCTTTTTTACGCTTTTTTATTTTCTGTTTTTTCGGATCATTTAAAAGTTCTTCCTCTTTTTTCCATCGTTTATATTTTTCACAATTACTTTGTATGCTTATCATGATTATTTGGATTTGTTAATTTAACGATGATTTTTCTTAACAAAGTAATTAAATAATTTGATTTATTATAAGATATTTGAATTAGGTAATTACAATATATATTCAATTAAATTCTTCAATATATTACCTTCATTATTATTTTTTCTTACATCTTAATGAAATTTTTATCTAACCTTGCCATAATTTTGAATTTATTAATTATCATATTTTTTTTTAAGTATTAACATTTTTGGATAATTAAAATATTACATTACTTTGGAATTTTAAAAATTATATTTTAGAATTGTGATTGGTGACATTTTGAAATAAACGAAACATTCAGTCGATCAATAAATACATCGAATACACGTTACTTTTAATATGTCAAAATTCATTGCGATATTTGAATAATTTTTCTAATGTCAAATGTCCAAATTCCAAGTACATATATATGTATACATAAAAATATCAATATGTTATTTAAAATCAATTGAGCAATGTGTATAATTTCGAAGAAAGTTTAAGTTTAAAAAAAAAAAGAGAAAAAAAGAAAAAAAGCAAGGAACAAATTTACTTAAAATTAATGGATTCGATTTAATCACATAACCTATAACAAAGGTTATGTTAGTAAATCTAATAAATTTATGGGAATAAAAAAAAAATGGATCAAACTTTGAAAAAGGACAAATCAGTAACCGAAATGGAAAGAGAAAAAAAACAAGAATTAAGCAACAAACTTAAACAACTTGATGAATGCGACGAGGTAGTCTCAGTTGAAACGATAAATGCAATTGGTCGAGTAACAGAGGATGTTGTTGCTGCTGATGATAATCCACCGAGTAGTGATGAATTGGATGAGAATCTCGAAGAGGAATATCAAAATCTAAATGATATTCTCGATTTACCTGACGACACTTATTCGCTTACTGCAATAAAACCTGAATTACCAGCTTGCGTAAAGTATGGTGTACGTTCTGGCCTTACTCATCTTAATATGTCCAAGTTTTCACCACTTTCTCGAGGCCATCAGGTACAGGCTTTTAAATCCATCTAAAATTTGACAGTTCATTTGTATTGAAGTTATAAGAGGTGACAATTTTTAAATTAGGGTGGAGCTATAGCAATCACTGCGTTCGCAACAACAGCAGTATATAAATCAAGATGTTGGAACGAATCTGTAATAGATCAAATTATCGAAGATGGTGATACGTTTTATTGTGAATCTTATGCAGATATAAATACGGATGATCGTCGACGTTTATCAATTTTGGATTTAAAAAGAAACGTATTTGTTCAAAATAAATTAAACGTTAACGTAACGATCAAGGATCCATCTTACGCAGGCAAGTTTCATTCGCAAGATCCAACCGAATTGCATTTAGTCAAAGCTTTGGAACTGTTTTTCAAAAGACACAATTCTGGAATTTTGACCTCGTCAATTTTGAACTTGGCTATTTGGAAAGAACCAAGATATTTTAATATATTTGACGGTCAAGCTAGGAAAGAGACTTGCGAGCCAGCTAAAGATGGAGAAGATGGTTCGGCTAAATTATTTTTAGTCAAAGATTTGATAGGGGTTTATTTTATAATTCTTGAAAAGAGTAACGTTAAAAACGAATCATTTGTACTTTATCCAATATCGATTAGCGGCGTGGAAACATTTTCTTCAGCCGATGATCCAGACGAACCTGAAAAATCATTAGGCAAACCACAAAGGCGACCAAGCGGATATAAGATTCAAGAAAAATTTCGTGCCGTCGTACAAGGATCTTATCATTTGATGCATCCTGTTATACCTGAGTTACTTCGTGGTCGAGGACATCTTATAATAGCACTTGCCGCTATAGTTTATTCTTGTTTGGTCAGTGGCAACAAGTGGACTACCGCTTTGATCGATTTAATTTTTAATCAGTCTAATATATACCTAATCGATCTCGTTAGAGTATTAGACAAAAATTTAGAGGACGAAGAATTCGAATTACGTTTGGAAGATGTCATGGGTGATATAATTTTAGGTGTTTATTCGGCCAAAATCAAATTACATCCAAACGTAATTCCTGGTCATGGTAAAAAGAAGAAAGGTAAACTTGCTATAGATAGTGGAATACGTGAATTCTTCGAAACTCAAACCGCAGGTATATTGGATATTAAAAAATTTTTTTATGCCATCTGGAAGGAAGATAACACATATTATTTCATGGATCCATTTGCTTGCGACGAGGAAGGATTTCGAATAAATTATGGCGAAGAACGACAGAAGGTTTATGGTACTAGAGATGCCGCATGTGTTACCATGAATAGTTCTATCAATCAATTGGTAGAAACTATTTTAGAAAATACTCTTAGCAAAGAAAGAGATCCCTTTTTGATTCATGGTATAAAAGTACTTTACGTGAAAACTGGAATGATACAGGATGGTCCATTTGAAAAAGTGATATATCGTGATAGAGGTACTAATCGTAGACCTTTTGCATCGTTGACTCAACTTTCTAAAGAAACTGTAGAAAAGAAATTAGACATGACACCTAAAATACGATTAGAATATGACGAATTTCTAGATGCTGAAACACAGTTTCCAGATTTAATGAGAAATATAAATCAATATATGTTTACGGATGACGAGCCAAGAACTTTTGTAACAGCTATGACTCTTGAATCAAAAGAAACTAAGGCGGCAACTATCGATGAGCAGGAAGAAGAAGAAGAAGAAGAAAAAGAAGATGAAGAAAAAAGAATTGATATTCAAAAAAATGAAAAAGAAGAAGAAGAAGAAGAAGAAGACAAATCGATCTTAGATTCTAAAATAAAACAAATCACAGGTTACAACGTGATCAATCCTCATCGGTTGATAGTACAAGGTACAAAAAATTGTTTGCATCCTGATTATAAAGCTCGTTATAAAGGGAGACAAGGTTTGATCGTTGCATTGGTGGCTTTGGCATACAGAAAATTAAAGAATCCATCAACATGGAGAAACATCGATCTTGATCAGATAATAGATATTGGTAATAAAACTTACGAAGATGTTATTGATTGGATAAAGGAAGGTAAGCCTAAATTGAAAGGGGATAGAGAAGAAGAAGAAGAAGAAGAAGAAGAAGAAGTAGAAGATGAAGAAGAAATAGAGACAGATACCGAGGTTGAAGAAGAAGAGGAAGAAGAAGACGAAGATGAAGAATCTGAAAGAATTTTAAAAATGTTACCAACACCGAGTCATTTAGATTTATCAATGTTACCGGTTAAATTAAAATTTGCCGAAAACGAAGTGATGTTTAAAACAAGAATGAATTTATTAATCGGTGAAGCTCATCCTCTGGCGAATTTAGCTGAAGCATTGGAATGTTATTTCGCTAAGTACACGGAATTGGTTTTAGAAAATAATAAATTAATGTATGGCATATGGAAAGATAATGATAAATACTTTTTATTTAATCCTTATGGAAGTGATGAAGAAGGTTGGAGACTTTTAAATTATCCTGCATCATTCGCAGTTGTTGACACGCTTAACGAACTTACTGATGTTCTTTATGGTATATTAGAATATAACAACAATGATTTTATTATTCATTTTGTCGCATTGGATTCTATTCAACCTGGCAAATATGCTGTCTCCGAACCAATTGAAATTCCAGATGACACTATGGTGAAGAAATTTCAAACCAAATTCTTACCGATTACCGATGAAGATTTATTACAATTAGAAAAAGATGATAAACCAATACTAACTGAGATTCCATTTGAGAGAGATATTACAGTGCCGGATGATGAGAAAAGAGGAGAGGAAGAAGATGAGGAAGAAGAAGAAGAGGAAGAAAAAGAAGAAGAAGAAGAAGATGAAGAAGAAGAAGAGGAAGAAGATGAAGGTGATGAAGAAGACAAAGTTGAAACTCATTTGAAGGCTCTGGAAGAAGCTGAAAAGAAACCTATCATTTCTCCATTATTGATAATCGAAGAAAAGGATCAACCTGATGCTCCTAATCGTTTGAATTTAGCTTTGTTGACTGGTAGTGTTAAAGTACAAACTGACGTTGAACTTATTCAAAAGATTGTACATCCAGAAAGAATTTTAGAAAAATTGAAATACACTCATCCACCTCCTTACGTAATGCCACCAAAAGCAACACTTGGTATCCTTCTCGATGCAAAACGTGCTAAAAGATCCGTACACTCTTTGGTATCTAGGTTTTCAATTGATTCAAGATTGGAAGTTAAGAAGAAAATTGGTCTTTCTGAGATGCATTCACAAAATAAATCTATTATATTATCTGTTTCGGAAAAAGAAGTTAAGCCAGCTAAAATGATCAAACTTAACAACAGCAGATATCTTTATTCACGCGTCTTACCAATTTATTTGATGCCACTTAGAGCTATCAATGATAGATATATTCAAAATGTCGATTTAGAAAAAGATAATTCTTTCATATGCAAAGATCAAGGTGATAGTTTTGATTTAGAACAAATTCCTGAAATACCAACAGGAATTCGCATAATGCCTGAATTATTGCCACTTGGTCCTATTATTAAAACACCGACTTATGTTAAAAAATCAATTTTTTGTATCGAAAAGAAGAAACGTAAATGTCTATTGTCGAAAATGGAAAAAGAAGAGCCTATCACGAAGAAAATAATTTGTGATACTGAAAATGTACTCCTTGAAATGATGTTTCCAAATTTTCAAGCTTTTCATCAAGTTAGTTATTTTGTTATGGGATTAATAATTAATCATTTTCTAATATAGAAAGATTTAAAAATATATTTTAAAATAATGTTTTTCTATATAGGAAGATAAAATACATAAACCACAAATAGATGTTGAAGACAAAATAGAAATGAAAACAGTTCAAAATACGAAAGATCAGAAAGAAAAAGTACTTTTTGAAAAGAAAGATGAAGGATTTAAGGTGATAACTAATTTTTATCGTCTTTTATTTTGTTTTTGTTTTTGTTTTTGTTTTTGTTTGTTTGTTTTTCTTTTCTATACTAAAAATTTTATTTCTTAATATTATTTAAAGGTGGTCAACGATAATATTGCTATACTTCGATCGAACATGCGTCTTGAAAATCGTGCCGAGATTGAATCTTGTCACTTCAAGGCTTGTTATTATGCTGCTATGTTGTGTTTATTAGGAAAAATTCGATTGAACATAGATCACTTTCGTGGAATAAATTTAGATGAATTTATTTACATGGCTAACAAAATTTATCAACGCGTAGGTAAACTACGATATAAACCTCTTAGATGGTTTCATAATTTTGAAATCCTCGATACAAAGTATACTGTAATTATGAAACAATCTGTATATGCCGATCCTGAAAATTGTGAAGCTGATAAACTTAAAAATGCTATGGAAACTTTTATGACAAATAATGAATCTGGTATATTGGTGACATCAAATATTTCTTATGGTTTTTGGAAGGATAATGATCGATATTATCTTTTCGATCCTTATGCTTGTGACGAGAATGGTAAATCCAATGAAGAAGGATATGCTTGTTTGATGGAATTCTGTGATGATTTATCGTCGATGTTAGAAAGGATCGAAGAAAATGCAGGAGGTACTACAGATCAACCTTATCGATTATATACCATGTTTATCTCGCATATGGAAACGAAAAAGGATCGAAAAAGGAAGAAGAAAAAGAAAAAGAAAACTCAATATTGTATTGAAAAAGTTAAGGAAGAAGTACCACAGGAGGAGTCAGCTGATTTAGAAGAAGAAGAAGAAGTAAGAAAAAGTGATTCGGAAACGTCATTAATCGAATCGACAGAATGGATCATAGCGGAACGTAAATTGGACGTTGTACATGACATGACTAAACCAGGATTCTCCCCTATTCGATACTACGATGCTTCGATGTTAGACGTAATTGTATTAGAAGATGAAATAACAAGGCCATTATTAGCACCGTTTAAAACAAATATTGAAAGATTCATGAATGAGAATCGTGACCCATCCGAATTGATGAAATTAATGATAAGAAGAAAACCATACGATAGAAAATTTAAGGAACACGTTTCAGTTATTACACCTATAGATCTTTGCATAATGGCTTGGTCATTGATCCATGATCCTGTACTATGGTCTGTACGAATTATCAGAGGTTTGTTCGAAGCTAGTTGCGATTATACGTTTGATAGTATATTGGCAACAGAAGATTCGACTGTCAGTAATATGTCTGATGGTCTTTTACTTGAATTTGAGATTGCTAATTATGTATTTCGTCCCGTATTTGTACCTTTACATTATGGAACTCTTTATGCTATCGAGGGATGGAATTTAGCAATGTCTTTAAAATACGTTTTTGATAGTCCTGCTTATACCGGTGCAATTATCGTCTGTGAAGATAGTCATATAGGTGTTACCAAAACTAACGATAATTATTTTGCTTGGTGGGTAATCAAAAAGACTAAAATATTACGAATAATCACTTCGACGAATATAAAGGAATTTTTGAGGATTATTATAAAAGAGATCAATCAAACTGAAGAGATCCAATTTATTATGAGAGTCGTAACAATTTCTTATGCAAAAAAGCTAGATCCTGATTGCACCGATGTTAAAGGATTACACGAATTTGTTCTACCTACGACATCTTTAGCTGAAATACATAAAATGGAAGCAGAGCCATACGACTTAGAAGCAATATTCAAACCTACTGTTCCAGAAACCAAACCAATTTTCATAATGGGAACCGTTGCTCTAAGTGATCGAGAAACTGTTAAAGAGCCTAGAGTTAAACGTTGCTATTTCGTAGCAATTTTAGCTGTCATGTTTAAGAGGGATATCATTCAGAGTCCTCTTCCAGGAATGATCGATAAAATAATTGAAGTAGCTGAAAGTCTTTACAGGGAATATCACGAACCCAAATTTCACACCGAACATATTTTGAGGAATGTTACTTTGATGAATAGAATTTTTGATCTTCGCGATTGTGCATCATGTTTGGTACCATTTACTATCGATCCTCGTACCGAGAGAAATGATTTTTATATTCAAGTAAGTTAATAGGATTAGGTTTTATTTAGATACTTAGATCATTTGATTATGATCTTATTATCATATGATATTATTTTATAGGTAAGGAAATATTTGAAGAAACACTTTGTTAAATATAGTAGTGGTATCATACAATTTAGTAATTGTTGTTACGGATTTTGGTATTCAAGATCAACTAATTCATATTACTACTTAGATCCTTATCAATGCAACGATAATGGAAGAAAAGTATTGACCAATGGCGTGGCATGTTTGTGTATATTTTCAAGTATTTGTCAAATGGTCAAAAACATGTGTTTCAATCAAATGGAAGAGTCAACAGGATTTTTTATTCATCGACTTCACGTTGATTCGGTTAACGTTTCCCCGTCAATCGAATTCCAAGAAGATCCAATGTGGATTTATTTAGATTATCATTGGACTTTTGATCATGCTCCGGAAATAATTAAAAGTGATAAGAAATTAACGAAAAAAAGACAAAAGAAGAAACGTTACAATAACGAGGAAGAAAAAGAGAAACAAATGAAAATATATTGGAACAATTATGTTATAGAAGTAACAGATTTAATATATTCGATTTGGGGTACAATCGGTTGCTATGATTCAAAGTTTGGTAATCGTGCTGGTAAAAATCAAGCAGCTATTTGCGTAGCTGTATTAGCCATGCAATATTTAAGTCATCCATCGAGATGGAATTCTGCTGTCTTAGATTCAGCAGTTATATGCGGGGATTCTTATTATACCGAAAGTTTGAAGAGTTCAATCAAAAAATGTTCGAAACATTCAAATAGATACAATTTACAACCTTGTTTCAGAATATTTCCCCACGTTTGGACGATCAATTTTTCAGAACCTATTTGCGGTATTCTTTATGGTGGTCGTAACAGATTAACTTTAGCCAATGCTTTGAAAAGTGCATTCGACGATGCACCAAATATTTTAATTGAATGTAACAAAATTACATTGGGTGCTTTGCTCTCTAAAGATGGATATTACGTAGGTGATCCTTGTTGGGTCGGTCCACCGTTATTTAATAAAGATCGTGGTGCTATTTATGTTTTACGTTGTAAAAATCTAAATTCTTTTGTCTATGCCGTTACAAAAATATTGAATACTAATCAAAGATTAGAATTTCGTATAACACCTGTGATATTTACGTTCGAACAAGAAAACTTTAAGTTGAGTAGCAAAGGACATGTCGCAAGAAGGAAGATACTTTTGGAACCTCTACAAACTATTCCAGGAAAAGTAGAAGGATATGACGTATCAATTCCAGGAGGTCAAACTGTAACTGAAGTTGATTCTTATTTATGGTATAGCAGGAAACTAGGTCTTGGCGTTGAAAAAGCCCATGAATTGGAAAATCCTCAATTACCCTCTCTAGCTCCTCAATTGAAAAAGGAGAATTTAAATAGCATGCTTGTTAGTACTACGTGGCATCTTAATCTAGGCCAATCCAAACGTATAAAGAAATCTTCTCCATTATTATTCGATCTTAAATCTTTACAACACGTTTCTGAAGAATGTGAAAAGAATATGGTTGCTACTTTCGAAGCACATTATCCACCGAAAATGTCTATCTCTGATAGACTTAAAGTTTGCGATGATTATCCTAATGAAATTGATTTTATGAGTCGTCATTTGAGCAAATCTACGATCATTCGAAAAATCGATCCGGATTCTAGTGTAGGCACTTCGATAATTAGTAAACCATTAGATTGTTCCAAGCCACGTAGTTTCATTTTGGATGATACTCGTATTGAATTTAACAAATTAACAGCCGATATGGCTGATGAAATGTATAAAACTTATCAACATCGTGACATACGTCGTGACATACCTCGTGACATACCTCGTGACGAAAAGGAAGATATCGTTGAGGACGATTTCTTGAAAGAGAATGATTTTGAAGATGAAACGGATGAAGGGACGATTTATCATGAAGATGAAGAAGAATCTGATACTACTTTAATGGACGAAACTATCACAGATGATGATGAATGATATATGAAAAACAATTAAAACAAGTTTTACACTTTAAAATCATCTTCTAAATTATTAACATTTATGGAATTATACTATTTATATTATATAGATTAAATTTTCTTATTTTTTGAGATTTAAAAAATATCTTTTTTGTAATAATTTCATATTTATTTATTAAAGGCAGTTTTGTATACAAAACGAACTAATTTTATTCAATGTTGTACGTTAATTGGAATTCATTAAACGAACTTATCAAACTTAATTATTAAGAATGTTTTAATTTATACACATACGTTTAGATTAAATTAATAAAACTAATAATTCGAGTGTGGATCATTAAACTAATTGTTGTTTCATTGAAATCGGAAATTAATATATATATATATATATATGTATATAAGAGATTACTATCGATTACTATGATTTCAATAAATAGATAAAATTGACTGATTATTTTCTTAACGTGTGTACAAATTATTACTTTCACATATGGACGTTTTCGATACATTTGTACAAATTATTATTAAAAAATGATACAAAAAGATAAGCATGATACTTTCTTTGTTTAGAATATATGAACGATTAGCCGAGATGTTTTTTCTTTTTTTTTATCGAGTAACAATGATAACTTAAAAACAGTATATTTAAAAAAATGAAAAAGAAGAAGCATCTTGTGTTCAGTTAAGTACATATGTATGTGCTCGAATACGATACATAGATTAATATTTAGATAGTATATACATACTATTATGGTCTTAAAACAATTTTCTCATTTTTCAGCATTTTTATCTTCATTGTTTTACTTCTTATTCGTGATCTTTCACGAATCATCATACTCGTAACATTATTAAGTATGACTAGAAACTATTTGAAAAGAACAAAAAGAGAAAATAAAAGAAGAGAAATAAAGATTATTAACAAATATAATGATAAAAAAAGAGTAAAAACATTTTTTGGACCTTCGTATACTATCTAAATATAGAATAACATTAAACTACTATTCTCTTAAATATAATTTGTCAATAAGTACACGAAATGCCGCATAATCATATTAAGCAACATTAATACGAAGAGAGATTGATTTTTTTTTTATTTATAACGAGTTGAGAAATGTGAACGTTTTTAATTTGTACGTAAAATTATTTATCTGGAGTTTCCTCGTCGGTTGTTTCTGGTTTTGTATACAAGATTTCTGCATATTCAGTTTTATCTTCGTTCAAACGCCGTGGAGTTCCGCCTTGTTGTTGTTGAGTTAAATCCAATTCCGCGTAAACTATTCCACCTTCTGTGCTTGATGGATTTATTCTACTATCTTGTGGCGATGATTGTTGTTGCTGTTGTTGTTCACATGATGGTTGAAGCTAAAATGGTTTACACATAATTCAAAATAATAATCAATTATAGTAATCATTTATTATATACAACAATGAGAAGCAAATCTGAACACACTTTATACAATTTTTCAGAATATTTACATTGATTTAGATACACAACGCTGTATTACAATCAATGAGTTTATTTATAAAAGTCAACATTATATGTTATCTTTTAAGATATTGCAATGTTTTTTTTCTTTCTATTTTTATATACTTTTTTCATTCTTTTTCATACTTTTTTCATACTTTTTTCATACTTTTATACATTCAAATCGATTGTACTCAGTTTTGCACCACTTACAAGTATTGAAGCTTTTACTGTTATCAAAATGATTGCGTTAATTATTTTTAACACATCGATTCATTTCTTCAATATGTACGATTCATAAAATATATATAATAATAATAATAATAATAATAATAATAATAATAATAATATATATGTAAAGTGCATAGTAATATTAAAAATTGATTTTATTCGTGCTAATTGCTAGGATCGTAAAATTCTGGTAAAATATTCCTTGGTATTAATGAGTCTCGAAAGTTTTAAGACGGAAAAGTTGGAAAGCTTAGGAGACTTATTTACGTTTTCTCAGACAACTCGACGAAGGTGAGGAAATTTATGTAATAGCCTTCGAAATTGTGGTCTGTCAGAAATAATTTTCCAATTAAATCTTATGTCAGTAGTAAGAGAGATAAAGAAGGGAGAATGAGAAAAAAATCTTGAAAGACCTTTTCACACCAGTAATAATATATGTATAAATCGAAATCTAAAAAAAGACAATTTTTTTATTGAAATTTACTTCATCTCTCATTAGTATTTTTGTTGTTGTTGTATAATAACGATGACATATTAGAAAATTTGTGTGTGATTAGTTTATAAAAATAATAAATAAAAATAACGTACAATTGTATTTATTATAACATTTTTGTTGTTGTAAATTTTCGATATAAAATTATTATAAATATATTACAATTTTATTTTATTTTATTTTTTTTTTTATAAAGAAATTATAAGTATATGTAAATTATAAAATTTTGTGTATTTCTTTTTATAAAAATATCTTAATTCGATTAATTAATTACCTTTTCGTCATCAATTGTAACGACAGTTCTCATAGTATCTGTGTCAGCACCAGATACTTTATCCTTATTACGTCGAAATAGTTGTGTAATACTAAGTTTTGGTTTACGTCCTCGTCCTGAAGAAGCAGTATCTACTTCTGTCCTTGAATATCTGCCTGCACTTTCCGTGTCGCTACTAAAGACAAAAAGTTTACTTACTATTATTAACAACATATACGCGCGTAGCTAATTCTATATTACTGTATATATAGGCAGGTATCTGAAAAGACCAAATCACAAAATAACGCAGCACGTTTAAGTCTTATTGATCGTCGTTATTGATCGTTAAAATCTATTTACGATATATTTCAAAGATAGATAACAAATGTGAACGTTGTTATTGAAATTAATCAAAAGCAATAGCAATATACGTGATATTTCAATAAATTTACGTAAGCGCATATGTTCCTTATGTTAAGAGATAAGAGATGAGAGATATTTTTCTCACGTGACGTATATTCAACGTTTTACATGACCTAAATTATATTTATTAAAAATATATTACTACCCACACACCATCACCGCTATGCGTGTGTACATATATTAGAAAGTATTACCAACACCGCAATAAGGAAAGATTAAAGTTTGTTAGAATAAAATGCTACTTTATCATAAACGATTAGAATACATATATACATAATAGAATACTTCAAAGTTCAATCTTAGAAAATATTTCAACTTTTTTTTTAGATTAGTTTTAATCTAATTATATTTATTAGTAAAAATAAAAAAAAATATATATATATATGTATAAATCTCGTTTGAGAGTAAATAAGTAAATTTATATGTAACTGTGTCAAAATGATATTTTCTTTATATTGAATATGAGTTAGAAATATGTCGAATGATAGAATAAAGAGACAGAAATAACGAAGAAGCTTCGTCACAGACAAATATGAATGAATTAAAGGAAAAAAAAAAAAAAGTGAACAAATAAATAAAAATCTGTCAAAATATAATTACTACTTCTTGCCTTTGCCTTTTATTAGTATTGTTTGTAGTTTCCGAATTTCCAGCATGAAGAAGAATAACAGCCGCTCCTGGATCTGCTAGTAAGTCTCTGAAAATATGTGCATCATGCTTGCATTCTAATGTACATGAAATATTTTGCGTTTGTTTTCTTATTTCATCTGTAAATATTTTCTTCTTCGAAAAGCTCCAAGTAGTAGTAGTACTGGTAGTAGTAGTAGTGGAGAAACATTATGATAATTTTTCCATTTGAAGCAACCCTTTTTCTTTTTTTTTTCTTTTTTTTTTTTTTTCTTTCAATAAAACAGGCAAATTTGTATACAGCGAAAGATATGTGCGCGTGTGCATTAGTTACGACCCATAGCAGAAATAAACAAATTTATCCAAAGGGGATAAATGTAAGAAGAATTGTGCAAAAATTTATTTATAGTGCAAAAAGTGAAATGCTAGCCTTCAAAATTTGTTATTCATTAAAATAGCTCAATACTCACGACTCGCCAAGATTCCTTGTCGTTGAACTACCTGTAAATAATAATTAACCTGTAAATATTTCTATTTATTCTTAATACATTTTTTAATATTAAAATAAATCAATCAATCATTGATAATTCATTAATTAATAATTTTTTTCTTCATAGATAAACATGTCAACATGTTTATACTAGGTAAAAATAAAAGCTATTAATAAAAATCGTCGGAACTTTGAAATCAGGAATGACTACGTATTTCTTAACGTATATTATCATGGACATGTATTTAAAACAAATTTTTTATTTCAAAAATCATATAATCATGTATATATATATATATATATATATACATATATATGTATATATGTATATATATCTAAGTTATAATATAGCGATGAGAATGAACTTACAATTAAATTATACATACAGATCTCTATATATTAATATCATTTGAATTCTTAGTTAGATTTTTGTTTTACTCTTGCCTACTCTTGCATTGTATCTACAAGTACAGATACAAAATGTGTGTTCTTACAATCTAAATATTTCCGTCATTAGAGATGGTCTTTTTTTTAGTTCATGGGTATGAGAATTTATGTGTATGCATGTCTGTCTATGTGTGCTGTCCTCGTATTGTTTAATCGACCACGATATAACATTAAAACTTATTTATTGTATTTTTATCCTTTTTTCCCCTTTTTTTTGTAACTTTTTGTAAACTCTTCTTTTATTTAATTTCATTTCGTTTCATTTAGCAATTATCATTATTATTATTATTATTATTACTTTTAAAGAATTAATTTAACGATCTCTGAAAGTCTTCCTTTTTTTTTTAAATTTTTTTTTTTAAATGCGCCTTCTTTTAATTAAATGCCGTTTTACATATTTTTTGGGCCCTCTTTTCACTCGTAGTGCGATCGAGCGTTTTGTTCTTTTCTTTTCTTCATAAATGTGTATTTAAAGGAGATGATAATAACAAAAAATAGCTAAATTATTGAAATATTTTCGATCTTTGCTCGATCCTTGACATTCTCTTTTATTTATTTTTTTTTTTTTCCCCCTAGATGTATTCACATACTGGATTTATTCTCTTGAATTATATTTTATAAATTTGAAAATGAATTTTAAACGACACATTTTTTGGCAAAGTATTATTTCGTTTCTGGTTCTTTTAACAAAAAATTCTTTAGTAGAGAAGAAAACCAGTTTCAGGTATTTATCGTAATCATCGTCGATCGTCTTCGTCATCGTCATTTGTCGTCTTCTTTATTTTCTTGTATTATTTTTTTTTTATTTTTAATTTTTTTTTTCATTTTATATTAGCTAGAGTCTTATATATTAACATAAATATATATATAATATATCTATATATATTCCATTGTATGGCCAACGATCATGCTTCTTATAGTCATTATCATTATAGTAATAATCTGTTTAATACGATGTTTCACAAATTCTTTTCATATTAATTCATGTCTAAAACTGCGAGCATCGAGTATATCTTAATTTTTTTTTTTTTTTTTGTATTTCTTTTTTCTGCGATAGAAAACATAGATAGATAGATAGATAGAAAAAGAGAGAGAGAAAGAACAAGAGATAGAGAGATAGAGAGAGAGAGAGAGAGAGAGAGAGAGAGAAAGAGAAGAAAAAAAGTGAAAATGAGAGAGTGAGAGAGAGAGAGAGAGAGAGAGAGAAAAAGAGCAATATTAAAAATGAATTGACGCGAATTTGTTAATATCAAAAGTACAAAGTATACAAAAAGTATACAATCTATACAGTCCTTTTCCTCGTAGCATGATCATTGAGAGAATTTAAGTAATTAGCATTACGAATAATTATAAATTATAATAATAGTAATAATATTAATAATAATAATAATATATAATAATATATTCATAGATAAAAATCAATTACGAGAATAAGTATTATAATAGTAAGTTGTCGCTAGAACTATGAATGAACCACAACGAATGTACACATTAAACGTATTCGTACGCAAATATCTCTTTTTGTTTGTTTGTTATGTTAGTCCATAAGCGTATATTCGTACTTAATGATTTCAGTTGCTACAACAAGCTGAGAACAATAGTTGTCGAACATTGTACGGTGAGAATAAATTTTTTTTGTGTTTTTATTTTTTTTTTTATTTTTAACAACCATGAACATTTCCACTGTCCCTGATTAAATGTCAGCCACGTTATATGGCTAAAATCTCTTTCATTTTCATTTGCAATAATATCAATTGTTTTATCAATATTGTTCGATGTGTTTTAAATAGTTACAATTACATTTTCTTTTTTTTTTTTTCTTTTTATTAAACATTAATCCTAAAATTTATTTACTAATCAAATTAAAGTAATGTAATATCGGTGATCTAACAAAAATCATTGTCGTAGGGATAGCAGAAGTCACAGTTTACGCTTTTTTTTTCTTTTTTCTTTTAAGATTTTAAATGGCATATGTGTATATATGGATATTTAGTCCGCTTGTGTGTATTTGTGTATGTATAGTTTATTTTATTTTATTTTTTTTTTAATTCTTTTTATTCTGGTAAATTCCGCATATATGTATAATATTTATATATATTTTTGTTTGTTTGTTTGTTTGTTTGTCAATGTATATACTTTGGCAGTGATCCGTGAAAATCATTACTGCGTAGTTGGACCTGTTTAAACTGATTTTTCTGTTAGTCTTATAAATCTCGTCACGCATCTACTTCGCCGAGTAAAATTAATAATCGAGGAAAAATCAAATGAAATTTGTAATAAATTAGTTGTCTTATTTCAAAGTGTCCATGCATTTTAAAAGAAGCTTGACGAGGAGAGGAAGAGCGAGAGAGAGAGAGAGAGACAGAGAGAGAGAGAGAGAGAGACAGTGGAAAGGAGAAAAAGAGAAAACAAATCATGAAAAAACTTGTTCATTCGTTCATTCATTTCGTTCATTTTGTTTACGTGTAGGGAAATTCTTTTTTACGTTTATTTACATTGATTCTCTCTCTCTCTCTCTCTCTTTCTTTCTTTCTTTCTCTTTCTTTCTCTTTCTTTCTCTTTCTTTTTCATTATCATTCTTTTCCCCCATTCTCTCATTTTCTCGCTCATGTATTCGAACATTTTTTGTTCATTTTTTAAATAAATCATAGTTGAGATTCATATCTATCGTCGAGAGTAGACGAGTGATCGAAGAGATTCATTTAATATTATATTTCCAAGAAATTCTATTATCTATAGATATTAAACTAATAAAATTGTGATATATCCAGAAGAAAGTGTGAGAGCTTCAGCCTCTGTAATGGCTCAAACAACGTTTTGACATCGCAAACACGATACAAAGTACCTATTGGCAACATATATCGACGTACCTATGTATATGTATATGTATAATAATCTTAATTTTTTTCAATTTTCTTTCTAAATCTCGATCCATAGACAGGATTGTATTATTTATTTTCAAATAGTTTTTCGATGGCCACGTGTCATCAAAAAAATTTCCATTTACTCCTTTTCTTCATCATCGTTATCATCATTATCATTCATCAACATCATTTTCATCTTATTTTTTTTATATTCTCGTTCTTTGAATATTTCTTTCTATTTTTTTTTTGTTACATTATTATATATAACCTTTAAGTAAATCTTATCATTATAATACTCTGGCCAATAATTTTTGTTTCAAATCGATGGTATAACGACGTATCATAGGCAATTGGATTGCAAATGGATAAATAAGTATATCATTGATTTTATATTCTCGAGTTGCATACCAACTGCCTTGACGTAGAAATATATATATATATATATATATATATATATATATATATATATATATATTTCTATAATCAATCGCTATTATTTCAATTACCTCATATCGCATAATTATTTATAATTAATATGTATATGTATATTTTTAATATATACAACACACGTAGAGTTAATCAGGACTGTCGCCGGCGAATACCTCTCTCTCTCTCTCTCTCTCTCTCTCTCTCTCTCTCTCTTTCTTACTTCTTCCCTCCTTACTTCCCTTATTATCTCTTTCACTTTCTCTCACTCCTTATTTCCTTCTCTCTTTTTCCTTCTCTTTCTCTCAAGGACAAATTTGTATTACAAAATGATCTGTAATTGTAATGATTTTTTGTTCTGTTTTTTTTTTCCCTTATCATTACTTGGTATGTATACATATATATATATATGTATATATTCATAGGAAAAAATCTAGAATGAACAACAATTGCATAACAAATGCAATGAAAAAAATCGAACGTGTTTATTTTTTCACCCAACTTCGTTTCTAACGAATTCTCTAATCTCAAATATTAGTCTTGACAATATTTTGACGAGATTAAGAGTATCTTGAACTATATTATGAAATAAATATAAATATCAAAAATCTACTGTTTAATATCGATCTATTGATAAAATGTATAAGTATTTTGTATCTTTCTTTTTTGTTTTTTTCTTTTTCTTAAACATCATAGAAAAATGTAAAAATTTGAGGCTGCTCGGCGTTAGAACAATACTAATAGATTAATCGTCGTATATATATATACGAGTATGTATAATACGTACGTCAAAAAGCTATGAGAGCAAGAATAATTTTCAAAAAAAGCCAATAGGCAAAAAAAAGGCCTGTTTATTCGTCGTTTCAGCCTTGATTTATTATAATAAAATAAAAAAAAAATAAAAAAAGATAAATATAGAACATAGTGCATAGAGCAAACATTAAGTCTCGTTCGACATTTTCGACATTAATAAATGTACCTTTTTAGGTACATTTCCTACAATCTCGCTAGGTCCGTTTGATTTACTAATTATTATTACAAAAGAGAAATTTTCTTATGAAACAAAAGCGCCTGATTATATTATTTCTGTTGTTGAAAGTAGAGAAAAGATGTCGGAGGAAGAGGAGGAGGGAGGAGAAGGAGAAGGAGGAAAGGAAGATAAGGAGTTGGGAAGGAAAGGGAGAATAAGAAGAAGAAGAAGAAGAGGGAGAGTGAAAAGTTGAGAGGGTGAATTCGAAGGTGAGGGAGAGGGGAAGAGGTTTGCATGTATATGTATGTGTGTGTGTGTGTATGTCGCGTGTATAATTTATTTTTTAGGATCGAGCGTCCGGCGATCGAGGGAGTGTCCTTAAAAAGGTCATCGCAAATTTCGAGGAGAATTAGAAATATCATTAGACAGGTGTATCCGTTTTTTCATCCTTTTTCGTATCCTTATAATCGTTGGTACGACCATTGACGTACTCTGTGCTCGTATGGATTGGGTTTTCCTGGCCACCTTGCGGTATTTTTTCATCGATGATCCTTGGGTCTTCTTGATCTTCATCCTCGTCATCGGCAGGCGTTATGTGTGCCTCACTTCCGGCGCCGACACCACCGGCAGCTTCCTCGTCGCCCCGCCGCCTCGCTGCAACAAGCAACGCCACGATCGGTCAAGGCAAAACCCCTATTCGCGTTGATACACCCTCTTTTTTGTCTCATATTTTTCTTATGATATTGTATATTCTATTTATTGCGTGTCCTTGTTTAAGCATATGTATGTATGCATGTATATATGTATATATGATTCTTTATATGCATGTATGTATATATGTATATATGATTGTTTGTATGTATGTATGCATGTATGTACGTATGTAAAATGTTAAAGAAATTCTAAAAGATTGTACTTTTTTTTTTTTTTTAAATTACTAGACATTTATATATGAAATGTGGTCAAATAAAAAGTATGTAAGAACGTATATGCGTGTTTTTTGTTCTTTTTTTTTTTTTTTTCTTAAAATAGTGCATATGTGCGTGCTGATTTTTGTTTAAATATCTCGCCCACATTTCTCTCTTTCTTTCTTTTTATGATTTATCATTGCTTTGTTTTTCGTCCATTATTTTTCTATAGTACATCTTGTTTATCTTTATATACTGTATGCATAATATTTTAACAAATTATTAATTATTTTTATTCGACTGATACAAAAAACATGTGTATAAAAAAAGTGTATATACTTTCTAATAATTACGAACTATATAACAAAGATTATGAGATATATATTTATTAACGAATGTAACAAATGTTTATGCATCTATATATCTATATATGTATATAGTAAGATATATATAAAAATAAGGAAGAGAAAACGTACAAACATGCTTGAACAATCTATCAGGGAATAATAATAACAACAACAATAATAATAATAATAATAATAATAATAATAATAATAATAATAATAATAATAATAATAATAATAGTACTTAACAAATAAGGAGTAAATTATATTATTATTATTATTATTATTATTATTTTTCGGAACTTTTTTGCGACACCACGAAAACGTAACAAACTAAATTGAGTTTCATCGCACTTGCCTTTGCCGATTTCATTGCCGTTGCTTGTCGCAAAACGACTTAGAGTCTTTTATTTTTCTCTAAGTTGTTAATATTTTTTTCTCGCGAATAATAATTATTGATATCATATATGTAAAAAGGGGGGGGGGAGAGAGAGAGAGAGAAAGAGAAAAGGGGAAAGATAGAAAGAGAAGGCTAATAATACATACGTAACAAGTATCTAACTATGTTGACACATGCAGCAATGAGCAATAATAATCGTAAGCACGAGGTGCATGCATAACACTTTTTTTTTCTTTTCTATTTTAATATAATCTATGTTTTTTCTTTTTTTGTTGTTGTTTTTTATTCGGGCAACAGAACGACTAACGATATAAGAACAAAAAATTAGATGGGTGAGAATTTATTATAAACGAAACCACAAAAGAATTATGAGAATAGATTTAGAAATATTCGTGCGAATGTATTCTCATGAGTATAGTAATATTAATATCCTGCATTTGTAATATATATATATATATAAATATATATGTTTTTTTTTTTTTTTTGTGAAATACCAATTATCAACTCTCGGTATCATGCTCATTCCTCTCTTCAGTTTATTGAGAAAAAAAGTAAGAAATGATTTTATTAAGTTTCAATAAAAGTATCATTTTTGCGAATAATAAATACAAAGATGGATTTTATAATCAATTTTTTCATTTTTTGTTTTGTTTTATTTTTCTTTAATCTTTTTCTCTAATATATTGATCAACGTGCAAATTGACTTTGTGAAAAAATTGCAAATGCATATTATAAGAATGCAATGAATAATTGCTAAAAATAGTAAATGAATTTGTCGAGAAAATAATGAAGAGCAACAGAGAGAGAGGGAGAGAGAGAGAGAGAGAGAGAGAGAGAGAGAGACGAGACGAGAGCCTGAGATGATGAAAAATAAGTTCGAGCACATTTTTGATGAGAAAAAAATAAATTTTTATTGGTGGGGGCTTTGTTTGCTGTCTGAGGTGACTTACCCCTGGACAGTATCATGCCTAGAGTACGGAATCGCACGGTTATTGTTGGTGTATCTCCGTATTCTTTACTTGGCCCGACTTGCATGCTGTCCTATTAATAGCGGCACAACACACAAGACATTTGTATACGTACATAATAATATAAATGAAAGATAGGTAGTAGTAAATAGAGGAATAATAATAGCTCTGATAAATAACTTGGCTGATGAGATCGTGTAGAAGAAGAGGAATCGTTAGCTACGCACAAAAAAATCTTTCAAAATACACGCCTCTCTTTTTTTGCCCGCTATAAATATATAAATATTTTTATGTTGTTGTGTACATAAACCTAACTCTCTATACAGGTATATATATAAGCGCGTGTATGATAGGTATACACACATGTTTTACATATCCAATGTTTTACGAGATACATGTAGTATGTGTACTATGTATCGAGCATTATATTACTTCATCGATTGAAATTCGTAAAAGTTCTAATCGGAAGAAATAAAAAAAAAAAAAATGGAAAGATACGGAATTAGCAGAATATACCCCCGACACACATTAGAGACCGCCGTTCGTTCATCGAGGGCCCGGATAAACTTGGCAACGGACAATGAAACTCGTTAGAACTAGCCTCTATCTAAAAACTTGGCAAAATACGAATTCTTTTCGTTACTCTTCTCTTCTTTCTCTTCTCTTTCTTTTTTTTTCCTTCCATCTATCTATCTATCTAACCATCTATCTATCTTTCTTCTTATGTTTCGTATCGATGAACTTCGCCTATATGTATAGGTATATATAATATATATGTATATATGTATGTATATATCGTTGCTCTCGCTTTTCTCACAATAGCCAACTAATTTCACTTTCTATCATATGGACGAAAATGACTGTATGTTCGAATAATAGATAAATAGAAAGTTCTTCCATCAAGGATACATAGAAGAGAACAAAATTTACCTTGCTGTAAAACGAATATGTGGTACATAATGGATGGTACATAATATGGATAATACAATACACGGAATCAAAAATAGTTAATTAACTAATAATAAAAATTTCTTATTTTATCTTTTTTTTCTTTTTTTTTTTTTTTTATACTTTTTACTTCTAGTTATATTCTAACTCACCTGCGAAGCACCAGCGACCGGTTGCTCGAGCGAAAATCACCAGGAACACGATGAGAATGAGTACCAAAGCACCAACAACGATACCGATGATTGATCCAGCATCAAGATCGACACCTATGATCGTTGATAACAAAAAATGTATATGTATACATGTATATGCATGTATTTATAGGACAATTATTTATTTCGTCCGTTATAACTCTTATTTATTTATTTATATTTTTTTGTCTTCATTTCAATTGATTCGATTAAAAACGTTGCAACAAGAAGCGGTGCACTTACGCTACATGGATATTGTGACTTTAAATTTATATCGATTAAATACCTAGGAAAATACAACAAAACTGAATGATTTATCTTTTCGTTGTTGTATTTTCAACGGTTTAATCGTTTGCATAAAAATCAAAGTAAATATTCGCGAATCATGCTTACGTATAATGAAATTAGATTAGATGTTTGCACTCAATTGAAAACTTTCCTACAATTAGCTATATAATATACTTCGTATATGTTACAGGTAATATAAGTAATGAAAAGGGATACGATACTAAATGATTTTCTAAGATTTACAATATGCATATAGTATATATATATATATATATATATATATATAAATATAGGGTGCCACATAGGTTTTCTACTTTAAAGTTATTACAAATTACACGATGCATACTGTTTAAGTTGGACTCAACGGAAAAACGTTGCTTTACAAGTTCCACGTAATCGGTGACTTTTTCCGCTGCAATTCCGAATATGCGTGGGCGTGACAGTTACAAAAGGTTGTGCAAAGGAAATTAATTTCAAATTGTATTTTTCCATTTTCATGTTTTCACCTTTCATTCATCGCCCATATTTGTGAATGAAATTAATAAATTGAATTAATAAAACAACAATATATAGGCGATGCATCAAATGATGAAAATGTTCACGGGTTACCCGATGTTTTTTTCTTAATAAATTATTATATATATATAGATTTTTGTTTGTTTTAAAACATATAATTTGCCTGTAACATATACAATATAACGATCAGAAAAATATATTTTGATCGTATTCTTGCAAAAAAGACGCTACGTTTCTTCTTTTGAAATTAACAACGAGTAACTTTCTACATAAACCATGAATACTAAAATACAAAGTTCCATACGGATCATACTTGAATCTTAAATCGTTTAATATATTTTAAATATTTTTTGAGAACTATATTATAAAGTGTTTTTTTTATTTTAATCAGAGTGAGATCACTTATGGAAAATCTTTGTAAAAATTCTATCGACTATACATCGAAAACTAAAAAAGAAAAAAAAAAAGAAAATACATCGAAATCATTCGTAGATGTATTTTCTCTCAATAAATTAATTCTCATAAAACGAATATTATTAATTTCAATAATATATTTAAACAATATCAAATAATATACTTTCAAATATAATTAATTTCTAATAATATTCGTTCGTTTCATTCGTAAACATTAAATAATGAATCCATCATGAAATTTGTTTCGTTAGAAAATTGACATTCAAATTGTTAATCAATCGTTTATTTTGGATTCATTCTTTCTTTCTTTGTTAATATAGATCATTGTTTGCCATCCAATACAAGTAAATAATGGTAATGAATTGGATTCGAGTATCTCTTGGATATATTATAAGGTTAATAATAAAAATAGTAATAAAACCAAAGCTAATGGTAAAGTCAAATTAATATTGTGATTTTTTAAACATAATATATATTTGTTACAAAGTTTATTATTCGCGGTTTAGTCAATATGTTACATGGGATATTGAAAATATTGACAAAAAGATATAGAAAAGCTATGATGGGAGTAACCGTAGATGCCATTAGAAAAATTGTACATTCATTACCATTAGATTAGGTGTTAGAAGAAGGGATGACGAACAATTGAATACGTTATTTTTTTTTTTTTTTTTTTTGAATACTACAGGCTTACGTATAATAATTTGAAAAAATGACATTACCTAGTGCGTGCATGTGTTCGGAGAGCTTACCATAGAAGTGACTGAACGCTCCTGCATGAGCATGCGGTGAAGGATCGATATGGTTAGAGAAAAACGTACACGCATACACACATGGAAAGATATTATGTGACATGTGTTATAGATAGTAGTAAGAATAGTAGTAGTCTTAGTTATAGATAAATCGTGTGTATATATGTGTATGTGTGAGTGTCTGTGTGTGCCGATCGTCATGGAAAGATAATGATGATCGATCGATCGTGACGTACATAAGTAGAAAGGTGTGATAATGATCGTGACGAAGGTCGGTGTTAAGCATGTGAGAAGAGAGAACACTTTTGAATGAATGAAAATGACGGTGACAAACGAACGAAGTGCAAGGAAGAGATGATATATCTACCTAGTTTATAAAACCTTCTCAATTTGGACAATAAGTTTTTTTACTTTATTTCTTTTTTATATTATCTCTTAGGAAGAAGTTAATGTTTCTTTGTTGTTATACGGTGAAATGAATGTTGTTGATAAAAGAAGAGAATAATAGGTTTGAGTTAAAAATGAATAATCGTTAAGTTACCTGCTGGTTCTGGAGAGGTTGACAAAACAATATGGTACTCGTAACCTCCTTCTTTATTATAAGCTTCCAATACGTATTCCTTCTCCGTGTCAGATTTTTGAACACTATCGATGGTTAAAACAACGAGCCACGCGCCGTTACCCTATAGAAGAACAAACAAAAAAAGAACAAAATAAAGATTATTGGATTTTGTTTTTACATATGAAGAAATAATGATCGAAAAGGAGAAAAATCAACAACATCGTTCGAATGAACGAATGAACGAACGATCCAAAAAATAATATAAAGATAAGCGCGGAACAATATTTAAAACAAAAATAAGAGTATTTCAATGAGCGTTACTTTTTAATAACTCTTTGCAAATTTTCTTCAACTTCGTAATTGCATTTTCAATAAAAGCTGATTCCGCGTATTCATGGAAAGGTAGAACGAGGAGGGGAAAGGGTGAGAGTCGACGAGTCGCTTGCCGACGAAGCTTCGTCAGATCGAAAGCCATTTATACACAAAAGCTCAGTTCGGACAATTTCAACCAGAGCTTTATTGGTTCTTGCACGCGGAGTGTTGTTCCAGAGCGTTGCATCCCACGTTGGGGAAAGGGGAAGGGGGGAGGGGTGGAGGAGGATCCGAGCATCGCGCTTTGGAACTTTCCGCGGAATCCGTCGAGTACCATTCACCATTGAAATATCCCTCTGCTAGTAGAAGTATCAAATATTCGTTGAATGAGAACAACAGAGAGAGAAAGAGAGAGAGAGAAAGGGAGAAAGATAAATAGATAGATAGATAAATAAATAAATACAGAAATATAAAACAACAAAAATGAGTCTCATTTTTCATAATTAAAATAAATTTGATTATCTTCTTTAATAATTTAGATTGGAAAATATTTCTAAACGATTAACAAAAAACAAAGAAAAAAAAGGACAAGATATAGAATTAATCCTTTTAACTGAACGTAACCCTCGACAATATTTAATTGAACTCTTATTCAAAAGTTTGAAATATCCATTAATGGGAAAATTATGACACGTTTAAGCTAATAAATTTATCGGTATATCTAAGAAAAGAACTGTTTAAGAAAGGGTTGGTTGACACCTCCCTCATGAAAAATATAAAGAGAGAGAGAGAGAGAGAGAGAGAGAGAGAGAGAGAGAGAGAGAGAGCATAT